AGTAGTAGTAGTAGTAGTAGTAGTAGTAGTAGTAGTAGTAGTAGTAGTAGTAGTAGTAGTAGTAGTAGTAGTAGTAGTAGTAGTAGTAGTAGTAGTAGTAGTAGTAGTAGTAGTAGTAGTAGTAGTAGTAGTAGTAGTAGTAGTAGTAGTAGTAGTAGTAGTAGTAGTAGTAGTAGTAGTAGTAGTAGTAGTAGTAGTAGTAGTAGTAGTAGGTGTTGCAGTAGTATTAATGAGCTTCACTTTAGCTGCAGTTCTCGCTCTCTTTCATAAATTTTATAGTAAAATTGAAAAGCAATAAAGTTCGACTACTTTGTGTACATTACATACCCAATGCATCATATCTTCACTCATCTTTCCAACATCATTCTCCTCCTGTTCCTCTTGTTGGCCCACTCCTTCCCACCTTTTCCCATTTCCTTTGGTCCTGTCTTCTTGTCACTCCTGTACCCTTTCTCTTCTTGGCTCACAACCTTTTGAACTTGCCCATCTAAACCGAACATCATCATCAGAAGTTAGTTAGGGACTATTTCATCACCTTTCTCCTTTTCCTCTTCTTCCTCCTCCTCTTTTTCCTTTTTCATTACCTTTACCCTAACATTTTCAAAACCTTTCATAGCATCATTTAAACGGTGAAAGAGCAAGAGAAGATAAAAAAGAAGTAATAAGGACAAAAATTGTTTTTTCTTGTCTTATCTTTTCATTAACACCTTTTTAATCGATAATATTTTTCATCCAAACATTCTTTCCATATATTTCTAAATTATCACTTAACCAATTTGTTGATATTTTACAGTAATATTTCTTTGTTTATTTAATAATTTTCAATCGAATTATTTTCCTTTTCTTGTTTATTTACTCAATATTGTCATTAAAAAATAAAAAAAAAGAACACATAAAGAGATCGTTGTCGTTTATTTTAATTTCTTGCCCTTTTTTTTCTTTCTTTCTTTCTCTCTCCCTCTCTCTCTCCCTCTTTCTCCCCTCAATATTTTCGCAGTTTTTGTTTTGAATACTAAATTCATTTATCAACTTTCATTTGGGAGAAAAATTTGATTTGCAAAATTTTTGAAACTAAAGAAGATATTAAACAGCATGGTAAATTTAATAAATTAAAAATCAAACAATAGTCATTGGTAAAATAAATAACAATCTTGATAAATATCACATAGTTGAACATATAGAAACAAAGAAATTTACATAATAATTAAAGCTTCTTTCGAACTGATAACTTTTATTCGTGATAATTGATTAATATTTAATGCGTTTTACTTTCATTTCACTGCACACTTTCAACAATTTTCGAATTTAAATTCTGAGAAATTCGAAACTAAAAATTAATTTCCTTCTCACGGCTAATTGAAATTGATAGTTAATATTTACTACGTGATAGCAAACATATTATTAGCTTTATCATTCGAAAACTTATACTATCGTATTTAATTGAGATATTTCAGCGGTAATTTGATCCAATTATTGTTTGTGTGTGCATGTGTGTGTGAATGAAAATTGAAATTCAAATTTTTCAAAACTAAAGTAATCTTAGAGAATTTTTGTTACCGATTAAAATTTGAAATTTTATCGCTTTAATCATCACTATGCTTATATACTGTGTGAATGATAACCTGCATTATTAGCAATGGTAGCAGATATACGTCTGCTATTACTATTATAGCAATCATATGGCTACGTTTTCTCCATGGTACATTACGGTTAAGTGTATTTTAAGCTTACATTTCATAAAATAAGCAAGTTCATGTGCTAGTAATTAATATGTCAACTTATACCTAAACACTTCCACCAGCAATTACTATTGATGTCTTAGTCAGTTATGATTAGTTAGTTTTGTTTGATTAGTTAATAGTCTGATTTCTCAGGAATTTGTTGGTTTAATCTGGTTAGTAATCCAGTTGTTTGCTAATCGAATAGTCTAATCTAATATAAAAAATATATAAAAATAAATAATAATGGAATATTAAAATGATAGAAAAAGATAACAATTCGTTAGAATTGCTTAACTATTAACTATTTATTGAAAAAAAAAGAATGCAAAAATTGAAATTTAAAGTTTTCGAAACAAAAAAAGAAAGTTTGACACATTTGGAATGTTTTATGGAATAATTTCACATACAACTCTTTATACAATCATTTTTAAAAATAAATTTTCGACGTCGAAATCTCAATAATTCGTTTTTTTTTAGTTTTTCTACATTTGTACTTCAAAATATGAAGTATTTCTCGTCTTCGCTCAAGTATTACAACAGTATATGCACCTTCTTCACAAATTTCATTTCATTTCATTTCATTTCACTTCATTTCATTTCATTTCATTTCATTTCATTTTATTTCATTTTATTTTATTTTATTTTATTTCATTTCATTTCATTACATCTCATTCAATTCCATTCCAATTCATTTCTTCAATAAATCAAAGAAACAGATGTTTTTTTTCGTCATTTTTCATCAATTATTCATCAATTTTTCATCAATTACTCATCAGTTATCTTTTTTTTCTGGCTTTTTTTTGATTCAGTGTTTGCTTAAATAAAAATCATATATGAATATAAATTATGAGGAAATTTCTCTGTGAGTAATGAATTGCGATTGATTAGTTGTAATAAAATTTTAATTATTTGTTAAGAAATTTAAATAAACAACTCAAATTATGGTTTAGATTAATGATAGCTTTGATAAAGTTGAAATTAATTTAATTCGAATGGGAAAAAAATTTTTGATTCAGGAAATTAATTCGAATATTTTGTAGAAAGGATCATTTTAATCATTGAAATCATCAATTTGGACAAGGCAATTGTTTCGCATTGGATTTATTGCAAAAAATAATACTTTTAATTAAAATTGAATTTCCAAATTATAAGACAAAAGAATTGAAAATAGATGAGGAAGAATTGTCACTTGCAAATCTTGGATAATTCTGATGATTCATGTCTTCCTTGAGAAATCTAACTTGATCATTCAACTTCATCACATAAGTTAGATGATAGGTCAACAATTGAAAGATTAGAAATTTGTGAAAACACTGTATAGATAGGATATGAAATTTGGCGCAGGAAAAACATGGAATTTAGGTCAGGTGGAATTTTGGAATTTAGGGTGAATGAGATTTGATGTAAAAATATTAATCAATTAAAAGATTGCTATGAATATGGATGAGATAACATAAAGTTTATTTAATAATATTATAATCATATTATCTCATGTTATGTATTAACCAAAGTTGCTTTTTTATCATTTCATCGTTCTGCACATTAAGTATTAATTGTTTTCTATACCAATAAATAACTTCAATAATAGTTTTCTATAACAATAAACAATTGAATTGGATTGTTAGTGTATTTGTTTCATGTTATGACAATGTTTAAATATTGCACAAAAACAAGTTTATTTATTTTTTTTAGCCATATAATTTCAATTATTGAGTATGAAATAGATAGAATCGTTTGTTTATTTATTTATTTGTTCATATATTGCCAAAAAAGAAAAGCAATTCTATCGAAATAATTTTTCAGTCCTTATTTTTGAATGGTTTTATTCATTTATTTATTTATTTATAAATTACTTATTTATTTATTTACTCAATATTTTAATATATAATCCAGTGCTAATGAATTCATTGATAGGTACACATATTGTATTACGATATGTAATTTGTGTTTTGCAATAATTACTTAAATGCTTGTTAAATATTCTCATTTAATAAGGTATAAAGTTTTTATCCTTAAACATTGTTGATTCTTTTAAAATTTTACTTAATAATTAAATGCAATTTTTAAGTTCCATTGTTTTTTTGTGCTGTTTATTTTGTTAACATTAATAAAACCAATATTGCCCTATTCTTTTTTCCTAATTTTTGGTATCATTAATGGAAAAATTTCTTTAAAAAAAATGTAAGGAATATAGAAATGAAAGTATAGCTATGCATATATATATATATATATATATATGCATATGTTAAAGTAAAAAACATCTTCGTCAATTTTTGATTGTGGAACCAAAGAACTTTTTATCGTTTCCTTTTTTTTTAAAATTCCATTTTTAAGTTGATAAAATTGGTATGTCCTTCTTCTAATCATAATGATAATATCACTCTCTGTTCCTATCCAGTTCTTCCATCATTTTATTGTATTTTTTCATGCAGTCTTTCGAAATCAAAAAAAAAGTACAATTTTTTTTTCTTGTTTTTTGAAACGGCTATTTCTTTTTCCCCTTTTTTCCTTCCTCCCTCTCCTTTTATCATTTTCCTTCCTCTTTTCCTTTTCGCCTTCCTTTTTTTTCTCCTTCCAAACTGATAATAAGCTTAAATTTAGCAGCAAACAGTGGAGTGGTAGTAGCAGTGGTAATAGTGATAGTAGTAACAGCAGTGGTGATAGTAGTAGTGGTGATGGTAATGATAATAGTGGTAGTAGTGGTAGTAATAGATTCGAAATCCACTGCAGCAGCATCATCTAAGTGCTGCTAACAAATCACGAGATTTTAACCTTTCGAAAATAATTTCAACCAAATTCGGAAATCGGACTTAAAATACCGAACTTACTAAGTTTATTTGTCATCTTCTCATTCAGTAGGTTTTATTTCATATATACAAAACTACTCTTTATTTGTCTTATAAGCATTACTGTTTTATTACAAACAAATAAAATTAATTTTTAATTACCTGCTCTTTGTAATCTAAAGAAAAAAAGTTTTTCCGGCATACTTTTAAATGATTCCTTTCATTATTGTTATCTCCCCTTTCTTTTTCATTATTGTTCATATGTTTCATTTATAAGTATTTATGAGACATATTTAAATCTGTTCCATCATTATTTGAGTATTCCATTTCTGATACTTATATTTGCGCGTATCTTTCTTATCGCTTATTTTCAATCCAACCATTTTTTTTTGGAATTGTAATTTATTTGCATGATAAACTAGACAAAATGATTTTGAATGGTTTCTATGAATTGAAAGGAAACTTGGTTAGGTATTTTTGGTCTGGAAATTAGATCCATAATTGGTAGAACTAGGGTTGTCAGATTCTAAATCCGGAATGGATAGATATTCCAGAAAATGTTCCGGATCCATTCTTGAAAAATAGTTTGCATCATACTAACTTCTAATCGTTCAACCTTTCACAAGATTTCTTTTTTTTTTCCTTTCTTGTCTCAATATTTTTCTTCTCGTGAATTTCCATTATAATTATGCAGAAATGATATCTGAAATTAAATTGCAACAGATGAAAATGAACAGGCGATTTATGAAAATTAATTTTTTAAAAAAAAAAGGAAAAGAAAAAGTCAGTTTCACCTTATTATATTATTTGATGAAAAAAATGGCGAATAAACAAATCTTAATACAGTTAAATTTGCACAAATTTTATAAAATTTTCAAAAGTAAACTTATTCCTTCAAGTTTATATCACTTCTTAGCTCATCTTTTATTTTTCATTCTAAATGGATCTCAAAATTGAATTTTGGTTTATCACATAATGTAAACAAAATTTAAGCTAAAATCTAAAAAGAAAAGAAGAAAGTGAAAACAGAAATGTAATATTCTAAGTGGAACTAACATTAATTCATTTTACTCTTCCAATGCTTTTAAATCAATTAATTCACTTTTGTTATTGCTTCTCTTACTAGTACATTTACTGGAAAGCTTATGTTACTTTCATTTTTAAACACCAAATTTTAACGAACTAAAATTCTCGCACTAAAAATTCTACCATTTTATCCAGTTCTTAATACTTATTAAATAGTAATATTATATTGTAGATCAAATTACATCAATACATTTCCTTTCATTGTTCATACTATATTATTTCAACAATTTTCATTATTTCTTTCCTACACGTTATTATTACATTTTTGTATTCCATTTATCTATATCCTTATCAATAACAATGTTACATCATTCCTTTCATTGATTAATTTCAATTTTATTAAAATTTTGAATCATTATTATTATTATTATTATTATTATTATTATTATTATTGTTATTATTATTATTATTATTATCATTATTATTATTATCATTATTATTATTATTATTATTATTATTATTATTATTATTATTATTATTATTATTATTATTATTATTATTATTATTATTATTATTATTATTATTATT